TGACAGTTGCTTCTCAGTGGGAATAAACTTCAAACAATTCGAATTTCTCACGAGCTTTTGGGACAACCTAATAGTATTCTATGAAAATATTCTGTACTGTATTGGAGGAATCCTTCGGTAGGCGACAGCAGTTCTTGATCCACCTTGTTGAAGACGTGCGGCAGATTATGGAAAAAAAATCGTTATTTCACACCGTAAACAACTAAATGTAATCCCGAAATTGCATTTTCTTTTGATTGTAGACGCGTAAGAAGGTAGAACTGTGATCTGTTGCAATTATTTATGTGGCGCAGTTTGTCGACGGGGGGGGGCATTCTGCTTTCCATAGATGTGCCGACCCATCTAGGTAGCCTTTTCTCGAGTTGACACGTTTTAGGATGGTGGCTAGACGATCTTACTCCAGCTTCACAGGAGTTCACAAGTTTTACCAGGTGAGATTTGTGAAATGGAAGATGTAACTGATAAACCAACCCTATGAATAACTATTCCTCCTTATCGAGACATTGATAAAAGTGGTGTCAACGACTATGGGTTGAAAATAACAACAGAAGGTGAACAGCTCAACCTGGACATTATTTACACGCTTTTATTGCTAACTGATGAGCGGAAGATAATGTTGTAAATGGAAAGTAGCGCTGGTTGTCCGACAAGTTCCAGTAGCTAAGGGCTCTCCCAACTAAAGCAACCAAGCCTGCAACCTTTCAACGATCAAGTTTCTATTAGATTGGAAAGAAAGTCCTGCGACACTTTGATCAAAATTCTGGATCAAATTTTCCTTCACTAAAAGACACCTCCAATCTACAAGGTAATCACCATTGATGACTAGGACTAGTGCCCACCTTTTGCACAGCTTCTCATTTCCACTCTTATAGAACTACGGCAACTACGATAAAAGGAAGAGGTGGACCTTCTCGAACAGGGTCGATTTTCGGAATTTTTGCTTTCTAAAGGATGCGGTAGGGATCAAAGGAGGTGGTAATTAGAGGCTGCTAACTTTGATAAATAAGCTGGGTACGGTCGCATTCCCTGATCGAGATCCATGATCTTTTGGCGTAGCCTGATCTCACATGCGGTCTTCGCATTGCCGAGTAGTAGAAAGAAAATGAGTGTCTGAATGAATTCAAGCGTGGCGCCATCCATGTTTTGTGGTTGACCGGTGTAGGTTGTGACCGCAATGCTGTGCCAGTACCCTACGACATCGCTTTGAAGTGCCACCAATAACACAGTGAAATCTGTATCCCAT